TATTGTTATTATTATTAGTAGTAGTAGTAGTGGTAGTAGTAGTAGTAGAAGTAGTAGTGGTAGTGGTAATAGTAGTTTGTGTTACTGTCAGGAGTCAGATCCCTGCCAAACAGCACTTCACATATCACATGTTTCCAGACATGAACTGACGGATTTAAAGAGACTGTATATTTATCAAAGAGTTCTAGGAGCAGAGGTCGTAAACGTCTGTAGCTGCGTGTCTGTGGCTTCACCACATTGTTCTGCATTTCAATCCAGTAATGCTCCAGGATGAGCCTGTCTCCAGCTACAGATGCAATAATATTTCTGCCTTTAAAAACAAATGTCTTGCCCATCGATCACGTTAAAACATAGCTTAGCAAACGCATGTAACTGGATTCTACAGTGTGTGCAGAGCATTATCTGTGACTGCATAATTTGGCTGTACTGCAAAGGGCTGAACTCAGCAGATGGATTGATGCTGGCTCTTGGCACCTTCTCGCCGCCTCTGAGTGTTAGCAGCTGAACACGCCTCATTTAGGAGTGTAGAGAAGAACAGCGCTTTCTCTTCAGAGTCACTCCCCTCCCTCATCTTCGACCCTAAATGCACTTGGCAGTGTGAAGAACAGGCAAGCACTCAGTCGAGCAAAATCGAAAAGGTTCATGGTTTAATCCAAGGACAGTGTTCCTGCCAGGGCGGGAAAATCAACCTCAGCGCCTCTCCGCAGAGTGAGCTCCATTATGCACCTTAAATGCCTATCGTAATCATTGCTTTATTGAATTTTGATGATACCCCAGTGAAGAAATTGTTATAGATGATAATATGTTCTTTTAAGTAATACTTCTTCTATAATCTGCTCTCATGGAAATTTGTCTTGCATCACAGGCATCCACAATCCCCAGACACACAGCAACACAAAATACGGATGTAAAAAGATAGAAAACAGCCTGTGTGCCAATGAGCATTTGTATTCTCAGTGCCATGGTGACATGTCAGTCATGATGCGCTCTGGTAACAAGATGTAAGGTTTAACAAAGGTAACCAAAACTGGCCTGACTTTTGTCATTAAAAAGCCATCAGTAACACAGGGGGCCAGTCATCGTTTCCACCAAAGATAAACTGGTAGTATTACAGCTGTAAAACATAAAATGTTGTTATTTTAAACCGTTAATATGCAGCCTCCTCATCAGTGATGTTATCTTAAAATATGGATGCACCCTCTGTGATGTCATGTCACCCAGGTCCATCTGTTTTCACTCTGATTAAGTATCTTCCCTGTTAATTAAGAGAAATAAAATATTAAAATGACTTATTACGATCACAGTGATTCTGTGTTGTTAAAAAACCTGATGATACTGATGCAAAATTTATCCCTCACCCATAATGTTGTCTAGAATTCAGTTCTAGTAAACACTGGACAGTTTCATGGAAATCAGACCACTGGCATCTCAGACATCATATATTAGAGTTGGAGTGTTCTGTATCTTGTTGTTATGGAAACTGCTTTTACATTAGAACAGTGAGTAGAGATTTTTAGTGACCATGCAAATCTCCATCATCACTTGCATCACTCTGTCAGGGCTTCAACCATCAGGTCTTAACAGCATGTGACATTTCTAACTTTTCCAGTCGACTCTGTGCTTGAGGTATGTTAGTGCACTTCAGACTGGTTTCCTTTCTGTGCAGGGGGTTCAGTGTAAAACAGTAACTCACCCAACACTGGGTGTCCCACTGAAGATCTTTTCTGTAGGAGTCACTTTAGGTGCAGGGGCGTCATTTTTCTATTTCCAATTCTCTCATAAAGGTCACTCCATGCTTGAATGTGAATATTGTCTGAGCAAGTCAGTGGGATGTGGAAATAGGAAATAAAATGGCTTTTTCTTATCTGCCGCTGGAGTGCTCAGTGAATGAATCTATCCCCCTGCTCGCTCCTCTTTTCCCTGGCAAATGAAGCTCCGGTAGTCTGTTGATGTCTCCCAGCGATGGCGTCATTAGGAGGCAGCAAGGTTGGACCAAGGTCAGGTAAATACAGTTCGGCCACCGACCTGTCTCCCGCGGGGAGATGTGACAGAGGAGCCGGCTGTAACTTTAAGTGGCAGATGCTGCAGGATCGCTCCAGGTGGATCCGACTGCTTAGGACAGGTTATCGTTTCATTCTTTCTCTGTTCCCCAGACGGAGACGTAGAGGAGAAATGAACAGAGCTCTGCTGCCTGGAGGACCTGACGTCTGTTTCAGAAACAATAAACAAAACATCTGTTTTAAGTTGTTGCACATGAGAGGTGACAGGAATTAGACACACAAAGACCTTGTGCTAGAGTTTGCGCAGCAGCTCATTAGCATCAGAACACCTTCCCCTTGAATACTGAGTCTGCCGGTGTAAGACATCTTGTGGTATAAGTTTGTGATGCTTTCATCAGCGTTTGACGATGAACAAAGACAGGAAGGTCTCTGGAGTTACAGTGGTCGACTACCAATCAGATTCCATCATACTGTAGTTGAAGAATTTAATGAAGCGTGTTTTTAGGACCTGTGAGCAGTAGTGGAGTCAGTAATACGAGTCTTCTCAATAATACGGCCCATTAATTTATAGTTCAGCTGTTGTTAACCTCAGCCTTGATACAGTGCTGCATGTTTTTTTTCTCATCAATATATTTCATAGTTGTAGTTTTTGTATCAGTTGTAGCATTACAGAGAAATTATTAATACAATTAGATAATTTAAAGGTCCTGTATTTTATACTTTCTCTGTGTTTTATCTGAAGTGTTGATCCATAAGAAGATATATTTGTGGTTTTAAGAACCAAAAACCATCTCAGTGTAGTTTCACATCTCCTCTCTCAGGCTTCTCTCTGGAGCTCTAGTAACAGCAGGTCAGTGAGCCAATCAGAAGGCTCACAATATAACAAAGTTATAGAAGTCCTGACAGCTGGTTTTAAGGCTCAGTTTGTGAATACAGGCTGTGTGCATTTCTCTGTGGACTGAGGCTTTGATACTTTCACTGTATTAATATAAAACCCAGACCTGCTTTATAATCAAACTACACATGGAAATGTCATTTTACACAATATGGGACCTTTAAATGACAGTAAATAGATGAATGAGTACATACAAAAGTGCGATGAATCCAATAAAAGTAGCAATACTACAGTAACAGTAACAGAAGCAGTACTAGTAGATTGATAGTAGTTTTGTAGTAGTAATGTAGCAGTTTTAGCACTAATACCTGTAGTAGAGGTGACTGCATTATTTCAAACTGTTTCATATGTTGTTTGAATGTTTTATTCTGCAAAGAAAACCAATAAGCATTTTTATTTCAGGCTAAAACTGAACTCTCAGTCCTATCTGGTGCGATTTTCACCAATCTAATGTTTACAGATGGAATAAACATTTCTTCTGCTCTGCCCTTATTATTTAAGTTTTATTTTACCTTTGTTTTGCAAACATTTACGTTTAATTTCTCCTGTGATTAATGACCCAGAAAACAAAAGATACAACATTAAACCCAAGCTTTTAACAAGCTTCAATAATTAATCTTCACGGAGCCTGATTAACATCTGAGGTGTGATTGCTGCGAGTGTTCATTAGCTCACTCTGAGGTGGAGAGATAACAAATGCTATTGAAGATAAATGTGATTTATGTAATTATCTACCTTTCTGGGGTTTTTGGAATTGAGATCAGATCAGAATGTGTTTAAATATTTTACAGAGGGATTGATGGAATAAAATCACATCTATTCTCCCTGTCTTTGAGGACATGTTAAAATGTCGATGCGCTGCTTCCATCAATATAATCACCAACTTATCTCTCAAAGCCAGAAAATCTGTTTCAGTGTATGTTGACGCAGCCTGAAGCTGCTTTGTCTGAACTTTTACACCCCTGAAAAAACGTATTTCAAAAGTTACACTAACCATAGAATGAGTCCATATCTGCTGTTGGATCCACTCAGGTGCTGTCAGTCTGTCCACTGCAGCTTCAGTCACCTTGGCCTGTCATTTTTCATCATTCTCTCTGAAGCAGCATAGAAAGATTTGACTTGATGTCACAGATTAGATTCACTGAATCTGTTCAGAATTTGGAAGAGACTGTATCCTATTGTCCAGTCCAGCCCTGAAAAAACAAGGTCACGGTGGGCGGGGGGGGGGCGGCGGCACAACACATTTTTGTAACAGGATTGCTTGGCTGTGGCATCATGCTCCAGACTGTCCTTAAAACTCGTGTCAGGCCATTACAGTGATTGAAATGTGAGTTTTAGGGTCAGCTGCTCTCATGCTTTTAGCATCTTAATACAGAGAAAATGATATCACCTTTTGTGTCAAGTACCGTGTTCGAGCGGGACGCATGATAAACGAATCAAGCTCCGCTGAACTTTCCAAACAAAAACTTTGCACTTGGTCTTTGCCCTCAGTGAGACCTTCAAACCTCTTTAGAAGTTGAGGTGTGTGTGTGTGTGTGTGTGTGTGTGTGTGTGTGTGTGTGTGTGTGTGTTTGTGTGTGTGTGTGTGTGCCTTTTTTTTGGACTGAATTGTGTAAATGCTCAAACTGAGCAACAAATCAATCACTTTCAGGCCATAACTCCAGCACATTCAATTTAATCAAAGCACCAACTTCTTGCTACGCTCTGATTAAAGTGAATGCATTATACTGACGTCTGCGAGAGGCACCGGGATGTCATGGTAAAAAATTACTAGAACATGCATGATGATTTATACGTTTGGGCTTTTTTCTGTGCATCATTTATTGTAAGCTGAGTGCAGCTAAAATCTCAATGAGCGCCGCGGAGTGTGATGGGGTTTTTATTTGTATTGTTTTATTGAAGCCGGCACACTGATCCTGAAACTGTGGGAGAGTTGTGGCCTGTTGTCTTGCACACATGAATTAGTACTTGTTTGGTTCATACCCTGTCCTGCTGGGCGTACTGCCGCTGTACACACAGTTTATTTATGTGAAAGGAAAACTGCCTCTTTTTTTTTTTTTTTAAATCTCCTCATCTCATCTTATCTCCTCACTCTCCTCCTGCAGTTCGACATGCAGAGGATCACCCTGGAGGAGCTGAAACACATCCTGTTCTACGCCTTCCGCGACCACCTCACCATGAAGGACATCGAGAACATCATCATCAACGAGGAAGAGAGCCTGAAGGAAAACTCTGGGAACTGTCAGACAGAGTTTGAGGGAGGTGAGTGAAAGTGGCTGAGCTAACTTCATACACGGGCACTTATGCAAGTGTGTGTGTGTGTGTGTGTGTGTGTAGTGAGAAGGAAAATAATCCATGCTGTCAGGAAGAATTCGCAGCACGCCTGCTGATTTATTGATACAGAGCGTTTGTGGGGACGATCGTCAGCTGGTCACCTGTTCTGAAGTGAAGCAGATGAAATATACATGACCTCGCTCTGCAAAACTAGCCATCCAAGATTTATGGATACCAGAGCAGCAGAGGGTATTCTGGGTCTTTTTTTACTCTCTCAACATTAAAACAGGAAACTGTTGTTTCTTTCAAACAAATTCTATTTGAAAGTATTTTTGTTTTCACACTGTACGCCTGGTTTGGCTTCAGATTCAGTGAGTCAGCCCTTTGAGTTTTTTCTGCTTTTGGTCTCGACAGACAGAAAATTTCGATCAGATAACCAGACTAAAAAGCAACTGAATTTACATGAAACATTTAGATTTGAACGGAAAATGAGGCTCACAGACAGCCTAGGGTCACAGTGCTCAGTATGCAGTCCATGTGTTACCATATATTACCAACATATGTGCAGGGCACTGTGTTAACAAGCTCATTTTGAGCAGATGCTTGTTGCTGCTAAACACCAGCCAAAAGGATGTGTTCACATAAACATTATTACCCTCTGAACAAGTCTATGCACATCCCTCTGTTCATTCTGTCTGCCGGTGAACCTCGACTGGAAAGCTTCGCTGTCTTTGCAAAGACAAAACAGATTTACAGGTTATTATGGAGACTAAAGGGTGGAGAAAATGTTTTGTTCATTTCGTTTTTTTTTCTTCCACATCTTACAGCAGTACACTGAGTATCTTCATGTTCCCCATCCCTTCCCTCCACCCCCGTGAAAACAACAAATACGAAAAGTAAAATGTAAATTAAAAGTTAAAATTTGAAACTTACATACAATACATATATAAACAGTATACATATTTGCACACACAGACACACATACATACACACTCATATGTACATATACATACATACATCCATATACACATACATATACACATGTCTGCACTTACATACTGAAGAATACCTGATAAAAACACAAAAGTACAAAAACAAACAAACAAACAAACAAACAAACAAAAAACTAAATTGTAAATGCAAAGTTAAGATTTGAAACTTAAAATTGAAAGCATTCATCTTTAACCTTTGGCCCACTGCCGGGCCTCTTGTGGCGAGCTGACTCACGCTGTGTTCAGACGGATGTGTAGGTAGAGATATCATACTGTGAAAATCTGAATGTTAAGTTGTGGTATTATAGGAGATCGTTCATTGCCTTGACTGATGCCATCTGCGCTCTGAAGGAAGTCAGAAAAAGCAACTTTCTCACTGGCGTCCACTTTGTCACCGACACCATTCTGGTGAATTTGATTGGAGGAAATGCTGAGTCATAATATTAGTAGTTCCTACATGTCCTGAAGGCAGCATCAAGCAGGGTCCCAGCCCGCTTTGTTATGCAGTGTTTGCAACATGAATAATACTGTATGAGTGAAATTCCACAGCCCTTAATGTCCCTTTTGACCAGACACCACCTGCCTGTGAATACGGCCTGTCCTACAGGGGAATTTACTGGGCCGACACCGCCGTCAGTGAGGATGGACACGGATTGCTCCCACACTTTATCAGGGTCTTTAAACTGGTGTGGAGTGATGACAACATGATGTTCCAAAAGAGTCTATGATGAAGACTGACCACCGCAAGATCATAGACAGCAATCACATCTGTTTGCCCCAAGGTCCATGAGTACCACCCGCCACAGAGGGACACCAAAATGTGCTCAGTCATGGACAGATCAATACGCCGTGTCACAGTGCGATTCATACTGAGCACCACTCATCATGCTCCTCTGGTACTTACTGCCTCAGCTTTCTGATATATGAGGTAGCATAAGAGGCACTTGATTTCCCTCTGGCTTCACCTCGCTCTGGAATCAATATGTGTGGAGCTGAAAAACAACAGAATAAAGAATGTAACCACTGATCCACAGAAGCTCACCAGGCACTGATTCATCGCTGAACAAATTGCACCGATAGCATAAAGCGCTGAGGAACAGCTGTTCGGGGTGTGACTGGCAGCCAGGAGCAAGCGTGGAAATCTACTTTGTTCCTTGAATGTCGCTACAGGTGACCATACAGGCCATACATTTTTGTTTGGATACCTGTTAGCTGTCTCAACACACATTACTTTTGTGGCAGGACACTCACCATTGCTGAAACCAGTACAATTAAAAATGTATGGTGATGCATGAGACAAATATATGATTGCCCCTTTAAAAAAAAAAAAAAAATCAAACTTACAAAATACAAAATCACTGTGTCACCTTCCAAATTTCCAGTGGTGAATTAAATGTGGGCCGAGACATCAACAGAAAATCAAACGATTATTATAAAATAAACAATTACGTGCAGCATGATTGTTAGCATAAGCGTCCCCGCTGAAAATCCACAGAACGATGAAATGCATTTGGAGCACATGTGAATGTAGCAAGTCACAGCCTGGAGACCGACGTACACTTCATTACCTTTATGAGCACAGCGGTCCAACTGAAGAAAACCCTTTGTGGATATTTGGCAGTGGTGAAGTTACTTTAGGCAACTGAGGAGGTGTTTTATGAGGCTGACAGCAGGTTCAGGCGACTGGACTGAGAACTAATGTCTGGACCACAAGACCTCTCCTCCCGTCCCTGCAGTCCAGCCATCAGCTGAACACATGGTCTTTCCATCGACACCCCGTTCGACTCACCATTACTTATACAACTATAGATACTTTGGAATTTCAGTAGACCTGCAAAAACAATCCTGCAATTGCCTCAAATTGTTCTAGAGATGAGTGTCTGTGTCTGTAAAGAGAATAAGGCACTTTGCTGCACTAGATTCAAGGAAATGACACAATAATAGTGATTTATACTGAAAAATATGTGAAATAATCTCACCCACAATACATGGTGGTTAAATGGTGTGGAGTAGGTGGAGCATTTTGTGTTGTGTTAAAAAAAAAAATTGGGAGAGACGGGTTCTCGCTAAAGAGTCACTGGTTCAGTTCCCGCAGGATAAAACTGAGCAGAGAGTGAGTTTCTACCTGCTCCTTAATTTCCTTTGCTCCGGTTCAAACTATCAACAGATGAGACCGTGATTCTACTAGGCAGCTTCATGGTGTGAATGTGTGTGTGAGCAGTGTGTAAAAAAAAAACATATTGTCCAACCAAGATAAAAGCTCAACATTCAGAGAGCGCAGAGTTGCATAACCTTGGTAATTGGCCGAAAGTTCGTCCTTGCATGATCCAAAATCATGTCATGTCATGTTTTATATTATATGAGAGTCTGGAATAGTATTTTTCAAATGGAGATTGCCAACTCACAGCACCTCTGCCAAAAAAAGATGTAGCAATTTCTGCCCTACTTTCCACATTGCATTTTCTTTGGAGCAGCATTTTTTGATGACTTCAGTGCTTCTTGAATTAAGAGTTAAAAATAGAGCGAGTGGAGAGCTGTGTGGCTGTGGGTCATTGGCCCAGCTCCCCTAATTACCGTGGCCCGGTAAAATCATCTCGGCTTCTCGCAGCCTGCTGCTGAGTTACCGGTCGGCGCCGGAGGTTGATTGAAGCAGAAAATTGTCTCGTAGAGGGAGGCTGGACTGCTGTTCTGTGAATGTGTGCGTCAGCTTGGATTTGTATATAATGCCCTTATGCTTAACATGCTATCATTCATTTGCACTCCAATATCTTCTGTCTTTAAATGGGGTATAATGGACGAGCACTTTTACACAATGACAATGATTTAGTCTACCCTCATTAAAGGTCCCATATTTTACACTTCTCCTGTGTTTTATTTGACGTGTTGATCCATAAGAAGATATATTTGTGGTTTTAAGACCCACATTTCGATGTAGTTTTACATCTCTGGAGCTCTAGTAACAACAGCTCAGTCAGAAGAGAGGAGGCTCTGAGCCTCTCTTCTGATTGGCTGACTGTTGTCTGAGTGATCCAATAAGAATATAGCAGATTTCAGGTAAAACACTCAGAGAAACCAAATCCTGCGAGGTTTGACAGTTGGTCCAGGTCCACATTAAGCACCTCTCAGTACAAGCAGTTCAACAGCACCACAGACCGCTTCCTCCAAAATGACAATAAGGTTTGACTCAACACCTCTGAATCAGTTTCAACAAAAACTGAACATTATACACACTCCTGAAGGAAGCATTTATTGCAGGGCTGTTGTATTATGCTGCATTAGTTTTAGATAGATGTGCCTAATCAACTGACTGAGTGTATATCATTATGCACTGATGTTGTTTGCCACCATCTGATGAACGTTTTTCACGTAACTGAAAGTAGCTATAGTATGGCTCAAGCGCCGGACATGCTTGATACTACATTTTCCCATAATGCACCTTAATAACATCTTTCATCAGATCCTACCTGCTCGCTGCCACATCTTCACAGCGGATTGTCCACTAATCAGATGGTCGGTGGTTCGATCAACAACTCTTCCAGTCTGCAAGTCGAAGTGTCATTGGGCAAGATACTGAACCTCAAATTGGCCCTGATGTATCACTGGTGTGTGTGATGGAAGCACTTCGGGACTGAGCTTTATAAGTATAGTCCATTTACCATTCCATTTACAGATGCAGATGTGATACAGTTGTTTTCACATGTTGAACTTAAAGTGTAAAATTAGTGCAGTGCCCCTTTAAAGGGAGCGTTTAACACAGAAAGTTACAGTATCTGAATTTAAAGTGTCCGTGCTCATGTGTGTTATTTCATAGTTCATACATTCCCATCCTCTAGTGCGCTGTAAAGCTGCCAGACTAGCTGGGTGTTGTATTCAGATTCCTGGCTGTTGCTGTGCAGTCAGTCTGCTCCTGTGAATTGTGACTGTCCCTCTCTGCTGGTCACTTCCCAGCATCCCGCTGCTCATTCAGCTGGGATCCATAGCAGAGCTGTTAAATCTGCCCAGCAACACTGATGTGAGATCACACTTCCAGTTATTTCCTTTGGTCTGGGACACAGTGGAGAGTTTTCACTGTACAGGATATTTATGTGAGGTTGAAGTGGACCAGGATTGTGAATAAAAGAAACTTACAAATAAGTTTGAGTGGTTTGTTTACTGGTCAGAGGTTTTTGCAACTTGTTTTTTCGTCAGGTTTATAAATTTGGGCAGAAATGGAGCATAGATACAGTCGCTTCACTCTGCTGAATTCTATTTCTCTGCCATTAATAGACCAGATCTTAAATATATACTGTATATATATCTATATATGTATAGATATATATATATAAAGAGATGAAAATTAGCTTTCCTGTAGGTGTGTCCTCAGTTTATTTATCGCTAGTCTTTCCAGGCATCAGATGTCAAAACCCGTCTTGTAGTAACCCGCACACTCTTGACTTTTTGGGGTCATTTTCTGCACTTGGTTTAAGTGAATTTTTTTCTCCTAGCAAAGGCATCTTAAAGCAGTTTGTGTCATGAAGTTGAAAGGCAGAATTCTCCCCGAGGGGAGAGAAGTTAACCAACGAACTAAAGCAGTAAACACTTCACAATACAAATAACCCTCTCCAAACGTGTTCAGAGCCTCCTCTGTTTGTCTTCATTATGTTCTTTCTCTGGGTGTGGAAAATGATCAATTCAAAGAGATGTCAGGAATAGAAGTTGTAGCATCTTTTAAAAAGGCGCTTGAGGAACTTTTTCTTATCCATGTTCTTCATCTCTCTGTTTATCTCCTCATTTCCCTTCCAGTTCACCCCTCAAAGAAGAACCGTCAGACGTGTGTGAGGAAGAGCCTCATCTGCGCCTTCGCCATGGCATTCATCATCAGCGTCATGCTCATCGCAGCCAATCAGATGCTGAGGAACGGCATGGAGTAGCCGTGCTCACTGTGAGCGGGGGGACAAGCCAGCCTGCATGTGCATGCCAGTGGGTGAGGTCATGTCCCTGCTGATTGGAAAAGAACTACAAATAATTGTGAACGAGATCCATTTTTAAAATTACTCTTAGTTTTTTTTTTTTCGAGCGAGCGGCGCCTCTCCGCCCGACGTCCAATGAAACCATGAAGCCAGCATGAGGAGTCATGCAGGACTCCTCCCACTTTACTCTGACAGGGACACTCAAGGGCTGACATTACACATTATACTCCGTCGTCTCTGTTTCCCTGATGCAATAAAAAATAATGTAAAAAGAAAAAGAAAAAAATATTGAGTGCAGAAGTTCAGAGCTGCTTCCTTTCCCAGCGAGATGTGACTGTGTGTGTCTGCAGATCTGTCACCCACCAGGAGTCTGATGAGCCACCAGGGCTGCAGTCTGGGCCCTGACAGGGGATGCGAGGAGGGGGAACAGTTGCCCCCTTATTATAGTTCCTGGAAGAATGATGGCAGAGCTCGCCGCCACTCAAGCAGAAGGATCTGCAAGCGTCAGGCCACAGCTCCTGGAGCTCTTGTGGTGCTACGATACTTCAGCTCTCCAACTTTCTATTTTCAACTTCTGCATCTGGGGGCTGGTATGAGGCGCTGGCATCAGTTCAACAGCGCCACAAAGCAAACAGTCAAGAGAGGAACGTGTTAAAAGGTAACTCCAGGACTTGTGATGTTCATGAATGAATACAGCTGCTCTCAAAGTTTAGTTTTGGATCCTCTCTCTCTCTTGGATACTGTTGGGTGAACACTGTTCAAAGTGCAAAGAAGAGGTGACTGTGTCTTTTAATTAAAAAAAAAATCCACCCTCCAGTGCTCTCTCACTGTTATATCATCTATCTGCGTTGCTCCGTGCTCTCCAGGAGTTATTTTGTGAGGTGATTTGATCCAACTTTTTTGGTCTACCTACTTTCTCTCAGTCTGTCTCGTCTACTTTTACCTCAGTTGATTTCCTATATTTCCCAAAAATGACTTTGGACAACCTCCAGAGAACAGGTGTGAACCCATCGCACTCAGCTGTGTGTTCATGTGTAGGTGGAAAGCGCAGTGACAGATGCATGAGAGAAATAGCAAGAGGTTTTCTGGTTGACAAAACCTGAATTGCACCTTTTACTCTAAATGAAGCCTTTGCTCTTTAATCCTGAGCGACTGACACCGAAACCTAACATGTCATTAATGTTTTAGATGCTCATTGTACATTTTGAACATCTGCTCTCAAATTCAGACATGTTGGAAAATGATGTGATGCCACATCTGAGTCTGACCAAACAGCCAAGCTGACTTGGGAATGGAAGGTTTATCACCACAGACAGAGGATTTTTAAACAGTGAAGAAGAGTTTCAGGGTGGATTTTTTTTTTTTTTTTGTCCATCAAATCACCATGAATCGAGTTAAAGACTTCTAACCTTGGTGTTGTGAAAAGTTTTGATCCCCTTCAGATCCCTGTGCTCAGAAACAGTTTGGCATCAGTTAATTACATTTTTTTTTGTTTGTGATGTGTGCACTATTTGTATTTTGATATTAGGTTCTATTAATTTGTTCTGGCTAATTTCAAATACAGAAATAGAATAAAAGGCTGTGCAAAACTAAGGCACCTTATCACATGTACACATAAACCCTTATCATCTGTTGTTGACTGTAGAGCTGAAATTCAAACAAAGTTGATCATTTTTTAATAATTTTAGTCACTTTTTCAGCAAAAATGACAAAAAAAAAAAAAAACAGAGTTGTGAATATTTGCTTGTTTTCATTGTCTTGTCTATAGAAGTGAATGTAGAGTAGATGCAAGGCTCCAGGTCATTAGAGCTGGGATAGAAAAGTTCATTTAAAGACAGAAATACTTTCAGTTAAACTGCAGCTACAACCTGAAGATGAGATCTGAGCAACATGGGATGTGAAAGTTTTACCAAATATGTTCCTTACACAGATTTACCCACTTACTTTAACACTCACTATATTTCATTTCTCTTTATTTTGAAGCTCAGAAATGACTGAACAGACCACAGATAATTAGATCAGATCATTTCATTTGAAATCATTTTGTTGGGTCTGCAGACTTTCTCACAGCACTGAATAACTTAAAGACACGCTGTGCTCCCGCTGAGGTCAGCTCTGAACTCCTGCACTGACTCTCATCTCAACATGTTAACCCAGAAACACCCATATTATCAAGTGCATGCTATCAAGTCAGTGTCTTCTGTAAATACCGTAACCCATGTCTGAAGTGTCTCAAGTGTCTGTCGAAGGTGTACAGTATCTCTGTATGTGCATGACTCTTGGTGCTCTCTGCTCACTCGGGTTCAGAGGTGCGGGGGGGGGCTCAGCAGGCGGGAGGGGCGGCTGCTTCATCACAAACACGTCAGGCGCCATGCGGTGACGGCCCTTTCTGCTTCCTCTCAACTCTTCTTGCCAAAGCCATAGAACTCCACAGAGGTGAACCAGACGATACAATATAGACGCTTTTCCCTGTTCGCACACGGAAACACAAGATCAAACGGGCATTTTTTGGCAGAAATATGTCGATCCTGTAGGATTTGTTTGTTCCTGTTGTTGTTGTTGTTATTGTTGTTGCACTGTACCTGTCATCCATTCCAATGACATGACAAGGAGGGCCGTAGGTTTGTGCAAGACTGCCATCTAGAGGTGAAGGGAGATCACATTGTTCATGCTCTTGTCCCATCACACAGTGTATGTGTACTTCTCACTCTCTAAGCACTATGGGAATGTGATGTCAGGCAGGACTCTCACAGCATTATATTCACAATGTCTGAGAAATTGTTGATATTAAATGTTAAAATATGAGGATTTTTATGTATAATGTATAGTTTGACTTTGGTCTACCGACACTGCGGGTAGAGCAGCACTTGTACGCGAACACATATTTAAACACAGTCTATTTATAGGAATAGATTTCTTGCCTATGGCAGAAAAAGTCCTTTTAAATCTGTAAAAGGTTTCATTCACAGATGATTTAACAATATGACATTTTGGAGACTGAATAAAAAAAGAACAGTCTTCAGAATCTTGTAGGTCACACTGGTTTTCATTTTTTTTCACACTGATTAAAAGGAGTTTTTGTTCTTTTTTAATCTGTCAATCTTGCAGTGCATGGTGGATATTTCCTACCAAACTCACAGCTGGCCACTGCTGTCATGCAGCGGCTAACTGGAAAAGTGCTTCATTTATTTGTTCTTTGAGAAGAACTTTGTTTTTTCAAATTTTACTTTCGGGATTTGAGTTACAGTTACCGTGGTTACAGGTTTGCTGTAATCAAACTGTCCCCGCCCCCTCTGCAGAACAGTTGCATGTCTCCATGGCTGAAGTAGAGTTTTATTTTGAAAGGGAAGCGCACAGTGTCTCTTCAGTAGCATGGTGGTTGGATCCCACGTTTTTGTTAATGTAACTTTGTATAAAGCTAATAAGTATATCTATTAGACAAGCACATACTATACATACTTTGCATGTGCGATATTTAAACATGTAGACTAGAGAGAGACTTTGAGTTGTACTATTTATTAGAGGCATAATAATTATAAAATTGTAAATACGGAAATCTGTACAAAAGTCAAAGGATTAAGCATTGATGCAATAAAACAGTGTTTTTTAAACCTGCTGTATGTTGTATTTTACACTGGACCTCATCATCAGGACTGAACCCTCAGACCATTGGTTGCAGGACAGTTTAACTTTAAAGCCATCCAATACTATACAACAAACATTCCTTCAAAAGTTGATATGAACAAATGGATTCTTAAATCGCTCAAGTACAGACTCTTTAAATACTTAAATAATCCCTTGGTCCGTAATGTAAGAGACTGAGAAACATATAAGCTTCATTTCCCAAGTAAATCTCTACTTTAAGCTTTTGTGGTATATGTTCCTTAGTCTTTATTATTTTACACCCTTATGTGCAGTGTAAATGGTATGGAATGACATCTAAATCAATATTAAATAGATATACATAAATAAATGAATACAGCTATGAAATAAACCCTGAAATAAATAAATAAGGTAATAAATTTAGAAATATATATGTAAATGTAAAACATATAAGTGAGTCAATAAATCAACAAATAGCTATATACATTTCTAAATGAATAAGTAAATAAACAAATAGCCTGACATTTGTATTTATTTCAGGGGACTTGTATTTTATTTTTCCACAGTTATTATTTCTGGTGCTGTTGCTTTGGTCTGAATCTGTGAGATGATCACGCCCCTCATTTGAATATAACATAGAAATAAAAAGCTGGGAAATAAATGCAGCGTTAGGAAATAATCGTCTCCATAAATAAATAAATGTGGAATTATAAAAGTCCCCTGAAATAAATAAAAGAGCTACTTATTTATTTATTCATTTATATAACTTATATTTATATTTACATTTATTTATATATTTCTACATACATATACATTCATATTTCTACTAATTTATTTATTTCAGGATTTATTTCATAGCTGTATTTATTTATTTATTTATTCAATATTGATTTAGATGGCATTCTATCAAATGGAGCCATTAAAAGCCTAAACAACATGGACACACTCTTTTATTGGTGAAGCAGACTTTTAGCACTAATATGAAAGGGCAGAGGCAGGAGGGTGTAAATCAACAGAAAATAGGACAACACACAGTGAAGTATACATGCACTGGGGCTGAATGATTCTTTGTTTTTACTTAATCATGAGTTATAATATATATTTAGATATATATTTAGTTTGATTTAAAAACTAATTTTGTGTTTCTCTGCCTGACAGTGTTGAACTTCAGCCAACAACAGACTTGTCTGCTCCAGTTTTTCCATTCAAACCAATTGTTTTCTGTAGAGTTTCATTCGTCTCAAATGGATATGACACAACTGGAGGCTATTTCATGGCTTACTTGCTGCCAGAGATATTTCATGTTAGACTTCGTATAAATACCAAGTGTAAAATGAAATAAAGGCTTTTGCAGTGTAATATTGCTGATAAGATTCAACAGTGGAATAGATGTCAGGTGATTGTGCACACATGCGATTAATCCTTGCAAGCAGCTCCATGCTTTGCTTTTAGTTGGAGTGAGTCTTCGATAACTGTCTTACTGCTCAGTGTTGAAGGTTTTTACGTCTATCTTTCCTCTTTGATAAATACAGGCTTTGTTATAGAGAGTTATATAATAAAAGCATCGTCTAGGAGGGAGAGGTGATCTGAGGCTGAGGAGGCAGAGAGAGGGAGACGGAGCAGGTGTCATCATGAAAGCACTGACAGATCAATGAGGGAAGAAATGCTGCTGTAGGTCAAAGACAGACTGTCTGGCACTTGCCGCTGTCTGGCTGGAGGTTCGATCAACAAATTTACTGATGCGGCTGTCGATGTGTGCAGTGGACACGTCCTTGAACAAAATGTGCACGGCTTGTCTGCAGTTATACAGAGTGACTCTGGGTAAGAGCTTTGTGAATACTGTGAGATGTGAAGTCTAAGTTTTGTTTCCTTATCCTATATTCCGCTTATATATATCTGCTTGCGACCACATTAAGACCACAAGAGGGTAGCAGTAGGCACGGATATGATGAAGCTAAGGGCACTTTAAAATCAGCATGTATGTATGTTTTGGCTTGTTACCAACAGGTAAGATTATTTTCATTTTGTAACCAAAGACATCATTTCCCACAGTAAAATAACTTGTTTGACTTTCCCATTGACCCTTTTCTTATATTGTAATGTCAGGTCTTTGTAGTGCAGTGAGTTTATATCAAACAGATAGATAGATAGATAGATAGATAGATAGATAGATAGATAGATAGATAGATAGATAGATAGAATTGCAACTCCTCACCCAGAGACACATACAAGCTGAGAATCTGCAGAGATGACAGGTCTGCCTCAGAGACACTGACCTGGGGTCAGGTAACCAAACATGGTGCCACATGGTGCAAATGATGGCATGATCATATTTGAAAAGACTGATTTCTTTGTCCTATGATCAATCAAACCAGTTTTTGTTGTAGGACAACACTGTCAAAATGGAAACTTTAATTGATCATGATTTTAAATTTCATTCACACTTTGACACAGTAAAGTAACCAGATATTTAACCAAGGATTTCACCCCCACCATGAGGTAAATAAATTATTCCAATTATTTTAATTGACTAGAATTTAAATGACTAAATTTACTTAAAATTGACTAAAATTACTCTTTATCTATAAAACAGGAATTTTCTGTCTGTATAGGATCCAGCTCATACCTGCATAATACAACAACTAATCTGTTTAAACTTCATTTGATCAGACTGTCCCTGGTGTTATTTACAGTAAAAGTGTTGACTGACATTTAGCAGGATTTTAACCACCATATATTAATCCTGTTTCATGGCAGGCAGTGATGAGCAGCAGGCCTGCTCTTGCGGAGTGTGATCAGCATTCAGCGTTGTGTTAGCATGCAGGCTCTGTCCTCCAGAGCCACACCACCCTCTCTGGCTCTCTGCTATAAACAGGCCCTTGTGCTCCCAGCAGGCTCCTCCTGTTTCATTTACATCTTAAGCATTTAGCTGATGCTTCATCCAGAGCAGCTTAGCGAGAGTAAGCAGCAGGAGTTCAGCTTCTGGTTCAAGGACACTTCACACAGGACATGGCTGCTACACAACTAAAGCCACAACTTTCCATTTAAAAGATAGTGTTTTTAATGTTGGGGCCAACTGGCTGCCTCAGGCGAAGCTGTGTAATGTTTTGGTGGTACCACTTTAAAAAGGATGTGATTAAACTATTCATAAGCCAAGGTGGGCTTCACAATCGGCCAGCACAGTAGCTGCAGAGGCGCAAGCTTATTTGAAATCCACAAAACAGAGTCAAAATCATCAAAAAAGTTAGCAGCAAAATAAAAATAAAAAAAACATTTTAATAAAAAAATAAATAATAATAAATGTTGGTATAATAAATTATGTTAATACCTATAAAACCTAAAATAACACAAGGACAGTTTGATCTACTGAGTGCAACAAAAAAATGAGGTGCATAAAACTGAAAACATAAAACAAATTACATAAAATGTTTCAATTTGACCATTTAACATAATCAAACTGTACATAATTCATCAAGATTTCAAAAACTGCAAGTCTGTCCTTAGAAACAGTAACCATGCAGAAACCAGGAAACCAGTTGTTTATTGGAAGACAATCGCAGGAGCAAAAACCCAACCGATAACATTGAATTAATCGAATATGACATCATATACATCTCAATACATTAACAATACTGACCTTAAAGGCCTCAGGCTTTTCCACAATCTATACACTTGTGCATTTTTCCATTCCTGATTCACTCCTCCTCTAACCGTCTGCAGTTTCTTCCTCTGCGTCCAAAAAAGTGCTCTGTTAGTTTTGGCCGTATGCAGCAGTTATGGCACTCAGCAGGTAACAGAATAAATCAACTGAGCTCAACTAAACCTTGTCCCCATGTGCATACAGTACTTACAATCATGCTACAACATGTACTGCATTTTGGTGCTACAGAATGCTTGAAGTAAAAATGACAATAAAAGACAAATGCATCCACGACATATAAAACCATGATTTTGCCCTGTAGCCCTCGACGATGTGATTTTTGAGGTGAAACTGCAAAAACATAGGCCCCGATACACCAAGTAATACACTGTTTATGCTTTTTTTTTTCTTCAAATCATGAATATTTACAGGATCTAGACTTCTGTAAGAAGGAAATAAAAATCACTTTTTGGGCATTAATGTTTAATTCACTGATAAATTGATGCCTGTCATAAATGGCACTCTTTCATTTTAAGCTAAAAAGTTGAACCACTGATGAAGCCTAACACAAACTACCAATGTATTCTGGTCAGTGCATATTACTGAAAATTTAATTCCAGGTGTTTTATTCTTTTATACATCTTGAAAGACATAATATCATAATACCGAATGAAGTAATCAGAGACATTTTGATGATGAAGATAGACGCCCCCCCCCCCCACATAAGACAGAACACAGTTGTGGCTGATCAATTCTCCATCCTTAAACAACATGGCAGAGAAGTGGCACGTACAGGAGTTATGGCAACTTCACATGGAGAGTTTGTCAAAATTCAGATGGAGAAATAGTCCTCATGCGAAACTTGCATCATTTTCAATGTTCAGTTTGTAAAAAAAAAAAAAAAACTTGTATCACTGAGATGCTCACAGCTCGTATCTCTTTTAAACCTTCTCCGTCTTTTCTTGAGAAGACGGGGAGCCTCTGCCTCACCAGCTGCGGCTCGGCCAAGCTGTAGGTTCAGTCGGCAGCTCTTGCAAATGGCCACTGGTGTCATTGGTCCCAGTGAAATTGGCCATTCCACTACTGCTTCATGGTGTTCTTGATGGTCCACCTCTGCCCGGAGCAGGGCTGCAGGACCAGCAGGTGACCGAAGTAAACGTTAGCCGGCACCACCTCCAGACAGCGCCCCGTGGCACGGTTAATGATGGATTCGTTCTGTGGGGCGGGAGGAGAGATGGCGTGCTGGTTTGAACAAGGTTTTACAGATGGCCTGTGTGTCACATGTGACAAGAGCCAGGCCTGATGTGGACAGATGTTTCTCATGTACTCCTCTCAGGTAATCGTATTAATTACAGTGTTGTGATCCTTAATAATAAAGACAAAACCATGTTGCTTCAAAAGTGGACCCACATATCACTAGAACCAATGTGTATCTAACATGTTACTCTGTTATGTAATTGTACATTAATTTCAATTCATTAATAACACTATTAACATAAACAGGACCACTGCAGGAAACATCACCTGCTCCTACTTTTCATGCTGTGTGACACAGGACCCATGGGGCAGAGGGTCTGCTGTGATATCTGTGTGAGCTCTTCTTCCAGAACAAACACAGCTAAAAGCTTTGACTTTTAAACGTCCATACTTTACAGTTTTCTGCTGTTTTATCTGAAGTGTTGATCCATAAGAAGATATATTTGTGGTTTTAAGAACCAAAAACCATCTCAGTGTGGTTTTACATCTCCTCTCTCAGGCTTGTCTCTGGAGCTCTAGTAACAACAGGTCAGTGAGCCAATCAGAAGAGAGGAGGCTCTGAGCCTCTCTTCTGATTGGCTGACTGTTTTCTAGGTGATCTAATAAAAAATATAGCAGATTTCAGGAAAACACTCAGAGAAATCAAATCCTGCAAGGTTGTATGGTGTGTCCAGGTGGGCGGGGCTTGGGGAATGGCTGAGGGCAGTGACTGCTTTGTTGTGACATCACAAAGTTACAGAAGTCCTGACAGCTTGTTTTAAAGCTCAGTGTCTGAATACAGGCTGTGTGCATTTCTCTGTGGACTGAGCGCTTTGATACTTTCACAGTATTAATATAGAACCTAGACCTGCTTTATAATCAAACAACAAAATGGGACCTTTAAGCTTTTAAGGTTATTCAGTTGGAACAGAAGGAGTGATGGAAAAATGATTTGCCGCAGGTTTTTGTTTAGAGTAAAGAAACAGAAAATAAATGCCAAGGCGAGGGTGCCTGTCTACTTGGAAATGAGCTCGTTAGTTTCGGGTAATTACAGCATAAACAAATGAGAAATGACTTTGACAGTTGGTGTTTAAAATGGCCACACATAGAAAATCGGTTAAACACAATATTTATATACATTTTGATGGAAATTTTTTTACATCTCTTTAAAAAGTCCAACCTTATTTAAGTCCACTTACACACTCTCTCTCCTCTGTGCTTTTCTCTAACATTCACATCAGGGGTCACATTACTTAGAACCAGTTCTACTTTTCTTAAACAAACACACAAAGACAACTGTTTTCTTTCTCCTCCTTACCTGAGAGAAATGCCATGTCTTCTGCTTCACGTTGGTCACTTTGTCACAGTTAAGGAGCTGAGGAAAGCTGCTGATCTGATCGTCCACCACGCAGCGAGTGTCCTCCCCGGTGCTGCCCAGGGGGCCCAGGAACAGCTGACCCTCTTTGGTGTAACGTCCTAACTGAGGGGAAAACACACAGACGGCAAACATACAACAGTCTGAACCGGATCACACACGTGGAAGTCCTCTGATTTTCAAACGCCAAAAAGGTGATACACATTTTTATAAGCTGATGTGAATTTCAAAAGCATTTTGGTGAAATAATGTGACAAACATGCAGTAACTAACTTGCAGTAATGGCCTGAGCTAAAGAAACACATGGGTGAATACTGTGATCTTGAAATCATGTTTTTCTCAGCCCATCTAATTAAAATACGACAGATTGTTCGAATTCATTGCTCACTCTAAAAGGCTGCAAGTTATTAGTCGAGCAGCAGTTTGCTGAAAAATTGCTCCTCGTGTAATAACTTTCAGCCGATTGTCTTCAGAATCAATACGCTCGTGAGTCCACTCTTTGTTCTTATCAGTCTAAACTCCAGTGTTGCTTAAACAAAAAGTCCCAGCCCAGTGAGATCCAAAAGATTACAGTGATCCCAGTGTTTTCTGGTATGAAAACACAGGAAGAGACAAAATAAAACTCAAGAGCAACATGACAAAACTTGCATGTGAATGGTGAGACAGACTCTGCTCACAAGCCTGTGTGCCACTAACCTCTTGAACTATTGTTTTTGACAGAGGGTTTCTTTTCTTTTACCTTTTACTTCCTGAAGTCCTAAACTCTCTTTCTGTCAATATTCTAAGACACAGGTAAACACAGCAGTGAAAGGCAACAGCTTTAGAGAACTAACAGATTTTGGTCTTTCTTCATTCTCTTTTAAGACTTTGTATTATTCTGGAAATAATTTCTAACTTCTTGGGAATATAATTCTCACGTATTTACGCTCTACTGCCCTTTAGGTAAAAATCTAAAATACAAGCAGCAGCTGAGTGATTGTGGACGGCAGTATTACGCCTTGCAGCGCACAGCCTGCTGGAAATCCATTAGAAGAAGAGGAAAGCACTTAATGATTTTAACAAAGCTAAATCAATGATTATTTCTGTTAGCATTCAACAGCTATTGTATATATATATATACATATGAAGGAGGTGCTGCAGGTATATTCTGTGCTTGTCCCTGGAGGCCACTGTGGGGTGCAGTTACCTGCAGGAAGTGTTAGTGAGAAACAGCTGCAGTGATTAAAATGTTTGTTTTGTCAGTTGAAAACTGAAAAATTCGCTTTTCTTTTGTAGAAAAGCTGACATTTTGTTGCACTTACTACCAGAATTTAAGTTATATTATATGTTAGCTTTTAGCATTTTACTACTAGAGCCAAGACCTGCCTCCCTGAAGCACCTGTTCACCACTGCCAGCTAAAACGAGATGCCCCGCAGGCCGAAGGGCTGAGGAGCTGACATCAGCCGACTCAGGACTTCAGCGCAAAAAGTGCAACATGTTAAAATTTTTGATCCTGACAGCAGAACTTGCTCCTAAGAGGGTTTCAGCTGAGCCTGTGTGAGAAACACGGCTGTAAATCATGTTACTGGTGAAACACACTAATGAGTTGTTTGTGTTTTCAAGAAGGAAGCAAAGATAAAGGGGAGAGAAGCACTCTGTGGAACATTTTGTTGAGTCTGTGGTGTCCATGTTGTACCTGAGGACCCCATCCGTGACACGGATGCAGGGTGGCCGTGTGGTTCTCCTTCATGCCCTGATCCATACACAGGTGGCTCACCTTAGAGTTACGAATCTGAAATCACAAAGTGTCTCTGACAGTCACACTCAATTTCACTTTGTACAAACTATCCTAATGTCCTAATATATATATATATACACACTGAACGTTTTCTAGCTGACTTTTTGTTTTTGGGTTGAGATATTTTTCATGAACCCCTCAGGGTTTATTTGTCACGCCCATCTCTCACTCATCTGTTTTCAGCTTAGATGCACGAGTCTTACTCCTTCATGTCAGCTTGGCTGCTGACTCACCTCTCCATAGAACAGTGTGTTGTTGTACCTCCTCATCTCTGGGTAAACATTGTCGAGGTACCACTCAAAGCTCTTACACTGCAGACTCTTCCTCAGGGCAACTCTCTGAGAGACGTCTCCATAATCAATACCGTGATTCTGTATGAGCACAAGAAGTCATTAAGGGAAATCTTTGCTTTACAGAGATCCTTTATCAACATTAATTCCTTAAATAACGATCCTGAAAATGAACACAAATGCCCATTTTGCCACTGACATAACACAGTAACGATTCAACCAAAAGTTTGTACATTTGTTGTTAAAATCAGCTGATGTAGAAAATGATCTGCTGTGCAGGAAGGGCTGTATATAACAGGACCAGTGGTTTATGTGCAATAAACAAAAGAAGAGCATAGTAGTTAGCACCACCACCCAACATAATAACATTTGCTGTATAAGCAGGACTAACAACATCATATTTGTAGGAGTTGTTGCCCGCTCTCACCTCCATGGGGATGTTCCAGGCCAGGTAGACATTGGATTTGTACTCATCCATCCAGACCTCAGCCACGCGCAGAGCGTTACGCCGTGTGTGGAAAGCTATGTTACTGTGGTAGGGTTTCTTAATCCGCGCGATGTGAGCCACCCTGGAACAAGGCAGCACCTCCATACTGCCTCCACACAGCCACACCTGCAGGTAGACAGTGTAACAGAATAGAGGAATTAAATTAAAGCTGCATTCATGCATTTTCTTGGCCACTAGGGGGAAGAAGAGCAACATTAATGTTTATTTAAAGTTGTTTTTCTGGTCACTAATATTCAGTCTTGTAACTCTGGTTTGGTCTCCACCAACTCATTAGGAAAATGTCTCACTCTTTAGATCTTTCACCATCCAGCCCCTTTCTTTCTCTGCCATTTGGCGGTGTGCAGGTCAGGTACAATGGTTTATCAGACCTTCCAACTGGAAACAGCTGCCTGAGCTGAACCATGCAGAAATGTATCATAAACCCAAACACAGAGCCAAAAGGTGCCTAAATATCAGTAAATCAGGTTTAACATAGCTGACCTGATGAATCCAGTAAATGAATCTGACCTTGTGAAGTTCTGAGAACCAAACTTTGTGAGTACAGATGATACATAGTATCAGTGTACATACATAGTGCTAATGATCAACCGTGTGCGGTATCTTTTGGTAGAGTCAGAGCTCATGATCTGACAAACCAGTCTGAGATTCTCCTGGAGATCTTTTCTTTTGTCTTTGCAAAAACAACAAAATAACCCTGTAGAACAACAACAAACTCTCCAGTCCCTCAAAATGTACACTTCCTTCCCTACTCTCTGTGACCTATTTATCTCCATTGCCCTGCTGTGAGCCGCACACACAGGACTGGTCCTCCAGGACTCTTAATGGGGCCTCATTTATCAGCGGTGCCAGCTGCGATGGCCACTGCTCCACTTAAACCTACAGGGGCAAAGAGGGAGCAGGAAGGAGAGGAAACTGGGTGACACACAAACCCTGATGCCCAGTTCGATGTTCTCCCCTCCGTAAACGTCCATGCCAGAGTCGAGCAGGCCGAGCTCCCCGAAGTAATCACGGTTGGCCACGAAGGAGCAGCCAATCATGGCGGGAGTCCTGCAATGAGGAATAATATGAAGTGTGAAATTGTGAGCCTCTGCACATGCACACGTGGTGTGTGTGGATTTGTAAATGTAAAGCAGAATCTTTGTTTGTTTGTGTGTGTGTGTGAATGTGGTTTTGTATGTATGCATGCAGATGTGCCTGGATTTGAATGTTTCTGTGCATGTTTAAGTGTCACTTATTGTTTGTATTTTCATTTCTGGGTTTAAACAAAAATCTGTTGATTTGTCAGTGTTTATTTTTCATTTCAAAAGATTTATGAAAATCAGATTTAACAACTCTTCTGGTGACATCAGAATATAAAAATCCAATTTGCAGGACAAACACTGCACTTTGAGTGTTTGTTTTTTTTTTCTAATTACTTTGAGGCAGCAGCAGCTCATTTGTTGTTTTTCCTCACTCACTCTAAGTAAGTAAGCACCCTTGCAAGTATGAGAGCAAACTAATCTATAGACTACGTCCTTTGTTGCTTCATATAAGTGCGCATTTTTATAGGTGAAGTTGGCTTGCCTGATGGGAGCGGACATGTCGCCCTCGTCCCACCACTGTTTGGGCGGGTTGATGTACATGCACCACAGCTCCCAGTTGTAGCCATGGCCCGAGTTCTCGTAGCGCTCCACCTCGAACGTGTCGTGCTTGATGTTGTCGATGGAGGGCAAAATGATCCTCTTGTGGTCCTCTTTTATTCTGGCCAGAACCGGCTCAGCCCTAACAAAAGCAGAAACACGCACACGCACACAGGTACACACTTTTTAGAGACACACACTAAAAACACAGACAGCTCCTCTGAAGATCTCCTCTCTCTCACCCACTTCAGTCAGTTACAAAGTCCCTCAAGTTTTACCAACTTTATTACTAATTCTATTTGATTCAGCTCAGTGCGGCTCTGGAGGGCATGTGTCTATTTATGCTGAGCGAACTGGGTTGTGTACATACTCATAAGTACACACTGAGCTGGAGAACGAATAGCAGACCTACAAAAAAAAAAGGTGTCAGCGGGGTGTGGCGAAATGTTGGAAGCGTTCAAGTGTTTACATCTCAGCCAAATCAGTTTCATCCTTTAAATGATTCTTCAGTTTTCCTTCCATGACCGGACTTCCCAGCATTGTCCCACTTTATTGCTGGCTTTATGTTTTGCTAGTTATCTAATGATGTCTGTGGTATGTCCTATAGTATCTTTTAATCCTGATTCTACACACTCTACCCTGCTCCCTCTCTCCTTATCTGAAAACTTCTCAGGTGTGAAATTGCTTTTCGTGTGTGTTCGTTTTCTGCTGCCTCTGCTATCCTTTGTCCTCTCATTCAATGCATCTGTAAAGCCCCTTGCAAACTGTCTTTTAACAGTGATACATAAAGTCTATTATTGTTATTGCTGTTATTGCGATTTGTAATCCAGCAGGTCTCACACCATTAAGTTTGAAGAAGATGTTTTTCAGAGGATCTGTTCCAACTACGTCATTTTGAAAGAGTAGGTGTCAATCGTAATCCCATTCAGATTCCAGACTTACTCACCAGGATGGTGTGAACTCCACGTGGGCGTCAAAAAATCCTGTCACCTCGGCAGTGGCCACCTTCCAGCCCTCGATTCTGGCCCGGATCAGTCCCTCTCTCTTCTGGTTCCTGACGATCTTCACCAGGCCGGGGTAGCGCTTGTTGACATACTCCTCCAGAGGTCCCTTCAGCTGCTCTGCAGTCCGTAAAAATAAAGGAAACACACCAAACAAAACAACAGGCTAAAGATGGTTAGAGAGAGAGTCCTTAAATCTGAGATCACAGCATCATCCTTCCTGCTGACGAGTCCTGGAACCACAGAGTGAAGCCCTGTAGTAGTTGATCCTGACCTTTGAACTCCTAAATAAGAGGATAAAAGAAAAGCTTGTTTCTCTACAGCACTCAAAAATATCACATTTTATGTTTCTGCCTGTCGTCAGAAAGAGCCAACCAAACCTACATTATCTGACAGTGTTGCCATTTCAAAATTTCACAAAAGGCATTTACAACTTTGTAAATCTACACACTATCCCAACTTTACTCTCTGACATATCTGAACCTAAACCATATGTATATCGCTCCTAAAGAGCTTGCTGAAGTGGCTGAGTTAACTGTATTCCATGACTGAGACATGTTGCACACTTGGACACAAAAAGGGGCTTCCAGACATGTTTAAGTTTAAAATAATTCCTTTACTTTCTTCCTTTCTTTCTGGAAATGCAGAAACACGGGCACATCAGCATAACGTGGCTGCACACTGCAGGCTGTCTGGCTGGTAATATGTGTGACTGGTAATATTCTGCACACTCACACAACAGGTGGCTCCACGACTGATTTCCTCATTAGCTAAGTGAAGCAGTCTTACAAACGAACTTCTCTTCAATTTATCCTGCAAACTCCGATATAAATCTCATTTCTGCATTACTCATAGTTCATTACTCTTGTACACTCACTATACATCAAAGTTTCTACTTTAATACATCTTTCTACTGCTGTTGCTCACCTGGAAATACAAAAACAGAAGCACATGTGACTATAACTGCCCAAAGAAAATAAAATTACATTTAAACTATGTGTATATATTTAGAAAATGATCAATGAATACTAAATGATAAATCAATAAATGAATTTTTTGTAATTAACCAATGAAGACTTGAGGCATTAGTGAGCACTGACCGGTGCGATGCATGCCAACTACTGTCACTGCTACATCACCCAGGACTGACGCACACACATAAACAACCTCACAAAAAGCTCCACCACAAGCACACAATGATGAGTTTTTATAAAATAAATGACACACCGAGAAACAGAGAGACGGAGCGCTTGTGTTCTCTCTGTTCCCTGTGTTGCTGTTTTGAGCTCCAACAGACTCCAAACACACCAAAGGGAGTCTGTGGCTTCCTGAGCGCCAACGACTGCTCCACCTTTGATCTCTCAATCAACTCATCAGCCTTTTCCCCCTGGACCCAAACACTCACAACCCGTCTTCCTCTGCATCACAAACACAACACACGCTTCAAAATTCCCTCAAACAAAAACACATCTCTCATGCTCTCTGTGTTTTCTATTTCTCTCTGTCTGCCTTATTCACTCACACACACACACACACCCTTGATAACAAACTCATTCCCCATGCTGTGTCTTCTCTCTCTCTCTCTCTCTCTCTCACACACACACACACACACACACACACACACACACACACACACACACACACACACACACACACACACACACACACACACTGTGTACACACAGCTGTGTACAACGTGAGGCCATGGAGCTGGGCCACTCACGAAGACAGTGAGAGTGGTGAGTGTTATTTGTTTGCCTCCTCCTCTGCAATCTCTTCCCCTCTGTGATGGATAGATGGCTCTCAGCCAATCAGCAGTGTCAAGTGGGAGACACTGCTGGCTGTGTCTATGTTCCACAGACACTTTTTAAAGGATAAGGCTGACGATCCTCTAAGTTTTTGTCTTTGCCAACAAATTTAATGAAAAAACCAAAACCAATAATGAACTGATTATACAA